CACACAGCAACGTTGGGTCCCATCCTTCTTCTGGACTAACACAACAGGAGCTGACCAGGGACTATTTGATTTCTCGACAATCCCTTCCTTAATTAGGCCATCTATGACCTTTTCTATCTCTTGTCGCTTTGCTGGAACTATTCTCCTCGGAAGGATCTCTATTGGACGGTGATTGCCTGTGTTTATTCTGTGCTCTGCAAGGTCTGTGCAGCCGAGATCATGATCTTCTTTCGAAAAGACATCTGCATAATTTGCCAAAAGTTCCCTAACCTGAAGAGCCTATGATGATGACAAATGGACTATACTCTTCTTACAGAGGTCAGTTAAATGTTCTGGGAGAGGATGTCTTTTCTTTATGGTCGTACTTCTTGCCTTATCATTGACTAGCTCTACCTCCTGGCACACACCCAACAATGCCCCTTCTGTAAGTGTCTGCTCACATTTAGAGAAATTAGCCACTGTTATGGGTATTACTTGATGACTTGCCACAAGTGACCTTCCAATCTTCACGTACACTGGCCTGGATGGGATCTTCCACAAGCAATGGGCTTCCTTGCGGATGTTCTTTTATTCTACCCCAAACTATCTTCTCTGACATAGGGGTTATTGTAATTGACTTAAGTGCTGTGACAGATGTAGCAACACTTACCGGAATTTGGCCTTTGTTGTTCCTAAACGTCATATTATCGAAGTTAACTACACACTTCTTCGGTAATAAGTAGTCCAACACTAATATGCATGGGTCTTCAATGTCAGCAAGTATACAGCCGTATTAAGCATCATTATTTATACTAATTACTTAAGCTAATATCACGTGACGCTAAACCCTCTTTAATTAGGATAATTTAATAAAATTTAGTTAAGTTGTGCTGAAAAGTTCGTAATGAATAATCAATAATAACCGTTCACTCTTATGATTCTTTTGAAAATTTGAGCTAGCTACTGCTAATCTAGTTTTCTTGGCCTAACCAATACTTATATATCTGCATGTCCTTTCACCTTATAGTTTTGCTGCTCTAAATCAACTGTCTTTAATCTGAAAGACAAAACTAAAAACTGTCTACCTTTACTCTTGCCCCCCAGTGGCACAGCGGTATGTCTGCGGACTTACAATGCTAGAATCCGGGTTTCGATACCTGTGGTGGGCAGAGCACGGATAGCCTATTGTGCTTAATTACAAACAAACAAACCTTTACTCTTAGGTGAAGCTATAGTAAAAATGTTAGACCGATAGCTCACGTGACTTTTTGCGTAGGCATGAGCAAAAACTTTCGTTAAATGTAAGCGGGTTTTGTTGAATAACTTTGCACATGTGGCTTATACTTTCATCAAATAATATTCCTTTCTAGATGTAGGTTGTAAAGATTTATCAGTGTATCAAATTTTAAAAAAATAATCCATAAAGGTTACAAATGCTTTTCTATCAAATAAAGTTTCCGTACTTTCAGTGCGAAGAAAAAAAACTCAATCAAAATTGGAGATATCATATCTCGGGTATTTCTTAATGAATTGCCTTGAAATTTGGTACGTGAAGTACGAGTCGAGTAGAGCACATCCATTGAAAATATGTGAAACAGTAGTTGGGATTACCACAGTCCGAGCTACAGAAGATGGAAAACCGCTAAACCATTACTCCTGTTAATAACATACAGTGGTCCTACAGGTTATTTTTTGTGTATTGATACTACCGTTATAAAATTGTCCACTAAACCAAATCTTAATGCCCATGCTTGAACTGCGTTAAGACGTTCATTAAATGCGTTCCACATGCATCAGATACTATCTAAATTGAAAACAATGGACTAAAGAATAAAAACTAACAATGTTTTTCCCTTATCCTCTTTTCTCGCTAATCGTTTACTTTCGGGCTAAGTGTAATGAGCACATAGTAACATCTAGTGTACAGCCAGATAATTATTGGTTTTAAGTATTAATCAGGTTTTTCACGTGCAGAATGATACAAAAACACGTATTTGTCTCAAACCTAGAAGTCAAAAAGTACCTGTTGTTTTGTTGTGTAAACATGTTATGTTTTAGCAGGTTTAATGCGCCTAAATTATTAATATTGTTGATACATTTACAGCGATTATAAATCTTTCTAGCTGTTTGACGAAATTCGTTCTGACGCAAACTTATATGTCCATATTAATAAATCTGCTTCAAACCTTGAAATCAATCGTTTTTATTTTTGTGTAAGTGTAGTAATTACACTTCAGTTATCATTATTATATCTTCCGAATTAAAACGCAAAACAGAAACTAGTAGTAATAAAAGTGATAATAGGTGATATATTCATCAATATTTCCAAGAAAAAGATAAAACTAATACAAGGTGAGTGTGAGATGTAATGTCAGTATGGACAAGTGGAGCTAAGCCTAACGATGTAAAGCAAATAATGATAAGAAATTAAGGGAAAGACCGAAACCATTTTTCTAACTTTATCAATGAACTGGTAGGAGATAAATATTAATCCTAATTGCAAGCTTTTAGCTTATTGGCATACTTGGAAAATTCCGTACAATTACATACAGTCTGAAGTAGGCTTAAGATTTTGAGTGTGTTTGGCAGCCGATATTGATACAATCATCTGTTTTCGTGAACATTACCACGTTAATACGCTTGTATTTTATTTTTTAATTGAAACCTTCCCCTTGATTATATTCAATTCTATTTATACGTAATATTTTACGAGATTTTGTGAATGTGTTTTTCAACGAAGGCTAATATTATCTCATATACGTCTACTATCAAAACCTTTCAACATTTTAATTTCATCACCTAAAATCCTTTACAGATCTTGACTAAACAAAACATATACGCGTGTTGTCAGTTTCTACCTTAGGCCTAAATCAACTGATAGTTGTGTTTGAATAAAGTCTAATGTACAAAAAATAACATTATTGGCACCATAATTTTGTTATTGAAATATAATAAAGATTCTTTATTTCTGACAAGCTAATTCAACAACTCAATATCTTTATACCGAGTAATATATATTAATGAATATGAATAACCTCTAGAATACAAATTATAATTCCAAAGAAGTGATCGAATTTGCATGTTTTTTACAATAATTTTACTTCTCGTCAGGGTATCGAAAAATTATTTATTACATACATGCGGCCAATTTGAGCTTGACGAGTACTTAATATCTGTTTAATAAAAAGAAAAACTCCAAGTATCCATACCTTTAAGTGTTACTGGTGACGCCCTAAAACACAGTGATGTTATAATGAAAAACAAAATAATAAACGTCATTCAAGAAAGTACACTTGCTGCAGAGAAACGCAGTTTTATTGCAAATTTCCCCATTTCACACCATTCATTAAACGCTGAGGAAAGAAACAATAGCAAAAAGATTGTCACATCAAACGCAAAAATTCCAGCCTATTACACTGCACCGTAATTAGAACACAATAAATAACCCATAATTTCCAAAATTAAAATATGCTGCATAAATTGAAACAGCTTTATATATATATTTTTTTAACAAACAAGGTAACTTTAATAACAGGGCCATTTCTCTAGTAAATGAACCCGTTAAATTTCCTTTTTGTTAGGCTTAAGAACATCTATTAAAAAGTATTTTCTATCGTTTAGTTGGGCCTATTCTACTACTTTACAAATAACATTTTTACGTAAAGTACATGTATTTTCTTAATTTGGGGATACGATGCTCTTATATATTTCTTCATACCAGAAACTAAATGCTTAATAATTCAGTTTTTAACTATTATTCTCCGCCGTATCGGTGTAGTCGCTATAACTTGACCTGAAATTTTAAAATTCTTCGATAGTTTAAAACGATATCAACAAGCCTTGTTCAGGGATTTTGTTCCTCGGAAGAATGGACATTAGTAGGATATTAGTTTGAAGAAATATCTGGTTCGAATTTCCCCTTATCCTTAGGTCTAGAAGGATGAAATACCTCGGTCTTAACTTTTTTCAGGGCTTCGACCAAATTGTTCTACATTTTAAAACATCTGTGCAATATTTAGCGTTTTTTTAAAATATCTTAAACAAGTCATTTGATCTTCCTGTCGAAACATGTGGGCATGGGCCTTCCTTAACATCATTTTATAAAGGTTTTTTTTTTTCCCACAAAAGTTATTTATAATTTTACAACTTCTAAAATATGTAATAAAATCGAATAATTAAACTTCACGCAGATTTTCAATACCGAAACCGTCCCCACTTCGAGTAATATATTAAATATCAATGAAAAATACATAGAATGCAAAAATCAGTATTTTTAAAATAATTGATTTGCACGTAGTTTTGGGAACAAACAATACATAGATTTCTTTAAAATTTAAATACGATTAACCCTAATACTAAGAAAGAAGGACAAATTATAAGACATTAAAAGAGTAACTTAAAGTTAACATATGCCATAAAACAAACAGAATAAGTGATTTTAATTTGAGGTATTTCGGACTGGCCGCGAGTTACAGATGCCTACTTGGTTAAGCCTAGATTAAATTCCCAACAATCGGTTTTAGATCATAACTTTTTAAACCAGAAATCTAATAAAAGATAACCATAACAGTGGTTATATATGAGGTATGTAACATTTTGTACATGTGGAATATATTTAAAAGGGATATTTAATTTTCCATGAATGTAAATGCTAATTTTAGCACAAGTAATTTCGCACTTATTCAGATATTTGGTGATCGTAATAAAGATATCCACCATACAAATCATTTCCAAACAGACAAGATGGTTAAGAATAAAAACAATTCGGAAAAATTAACTAAGGTAGAACCCGAGGCATATATATATATATAACCTCGCATATTTAAACAAATTCGAATGGTACATTTTCAGGCATCCTGAAACAATTCCTATAAAGTACACGTTATTAGGAAAAAACATATATAAAAAACAGTTACTTAAAAAATACACTCGAAAAACATACCCACAAATGCAAGCTTAACCTTAAAAAAACACAAACACTTTCAATTTAAGTTCCACACACACTGATGCAGTTAGTAAAACTGTAACACAATTATCTCCTACAACCAAAAACAGTTCTTTAATAATTCAATAACAAAGGATTTACAATTAACTATGGTAACAATATTTACTATTTTTGGTTATTGACCCACGATGTCAAAATGTAGTTAGTATCTATGGTTAGTATGTTTACTCAATTTTATTAACGACGAGAGAATACCGTAACACTAATCATGGTAATAGTATTTACTAATGTCATTAATCCACTACATCATAATAACAAAGAAATACCTGCATAACAGTGTCGACTTTTGTTCGTTAATAGTGAAATATGACAACAGAGTAACTATGGCAACCATATTTAGAAACGAAATTTCAGGGGGACCTCTTTTAGTACTGAAACTTTTCGGTTGTAATGAGGCGAAATATGGCACAAGAATGGAAGACAGTAATATAGTATACAGGATCTGGTGGTTACTAATTAGATGTAGGAACAGTGGCGTAACTACAAAAGATGGGCCTCTCCCCTCATAAAAAGTAATTTGGCCCCCTACATTTCCCTATAATTGTAGTTACGATTCTGGCTGATTTAGGCACCCCTTTTGGCTCGGTCCCCATGCAGTTGCAGGAGCATAGTTACGCCACTGTGTAGAGATCGCAAAATAGAAAATTTTAAATTAAAACCGTAATGCTTAAAAGGTAGGACGTTAATTACAGTGAAGACACGAGTATTTTGAAGTAACATGATCACTAACTCAAGTGTTGAGTGTATAATGTAATGATAGAGTACATCCCATGAAATTTGTAGTTTCTTGTTTCCTTTTCCATAAAAAAAACAGTCCTCAGTTTCACTCTTAAATACACATCGAAATGTGTTCACAAATTAAATTAAAATAATTCTAAAATATTATTAAAAAACATTTTTTTTTCTGTGAATTTAAACAGAGTTGGCTTATACACCAAGTTGTTACCCCATGATACCTACGAGACAGTGTTTCTCAGCAGGATTTACCAAACGACTTCCGCGTCCGGGCTTTGGTCGTAGCGACCCCTATTATCTCTACAAGGATGTAAAAAATATTGATGTTTCTTGGCGCAGTTCGTCACAGTTCATAACAAATAATATGTGCACCTCGAGGACTCAAAAAATGTTGACTCAGCGCACACAGTCCCCCCCCCCCCCACCTTCTGGAAACCTGCTCGCGACCTACCGTTTGAGAAACACTGCTCTTTAATTCACTATTTTCTTCTCCAGTGAGACTGAACTGTGATCTACAACAGAAGCAGTATCTAAATATAGGGTTGACTTGTATGTCAAGTTGTTTCCTACTTTTATGGCCCAGTGAGATAGAGACAATAACTTTGAAATAGGATACTGAAACACTTTGCAAATATTGAAATGGAGAAAACTGTAACATTTTATGCAGATTATATTTCTTTTAGTAATTTTAAGTACTTCCAATATTAAAATGTAATAAAAAAGGGGATTCTGGATGTGCGTGAAATGGAAAAATTTGAAGTGTTGGAATCTTAGTAACTGTAGACGTGTCCTTAATGCAAGAAAACAACAACAAAATATATATACAACTTGTCTTATCAATAAATGAGAGTTGTAAGTTTCTTTTTTTTTTGACAAAAGAAAAAAAAACACCAAATCTGACTGTTATATATGTAATGTGGTTACTTTAAGCCTAATATTACTGTACTGTAAAGTTACTTATACAATACTCTTCAGTCTTCTTCGAGTCTTTAGTAAAACTGACAGATAATTCAACCAATAACTGTGTCTTACACTAAAGTATTATAAGAGGTATTTCACACTAACTTCCATTAGATAACACCACTAGCGGGAGATATATAGAAAAATCACTATGTTTAATTACATCCCACAAGAAAATTAAAAACATTAGGTAAAAAAAACAAAACAATTATTCTAGACAAGTGTTAAAAGTTATGACAATAGAGACACGTTAAGTTTACCTTAAGGTCCTTGGAAGCATGTCACAACTAGGTTCCGAAAATAAAGTCAAGTTAGAGATCTCTCTCAACCATTCTGAGGAAGAAACATTGTGAGTAATTAGCGCTGAAGGTGTTATGTGATTTAAAAGTGAATCTAATAGAAATAAATAATGGCTATCACGATTATAAATACTACCAGTCTGGCACACTTACAATGAAGTAATTAGACTAAAAGCTAGGCCTAAAAGTTCAGTCCGCTAAATATGACAATCCAAACAACATGAGCGCTGCTTAATAAGCCTCTAGATGTATTCTGTGGGATCTTCATTGTGCAGTAAAACACCAATTACGAATGGAAGTAACAAGTGAATGACGTGCAACAGATACCTGTTTACTTACACCAGTGAAAACTGATAATTTCTATTATTTTTACTCCAATTGGAAAATATCTGAATTATACTGTTCTACATACTTTGCACAAGCATTCGAGATATGCACACAACAGTTAGGCTTATGAACAAGTAAAAAAAGTACTATAGCTGGACGTTCTTGACTATCTTTCAGACTGTATAATGTGACTATTTAAGCTAGTATACTTGCCTGAGTTCCATACATTTAGCCAGAAAAAAAGTGGATATTATCACACAAAGGCTAAGTTCAAACTACACTTCTAAAAACTTTAGTTTCACATAGAGCATTTCATTAAAGTATCTCTGGACTATTTTTACATGGCTTAACTAAGCATATTTTGTTATCTATACCATTTGTTTGAATTAAGTACCTTATAACTACTTGTACCATATTCTAAGCCTAGTTTAATTAGGTCTAAAAACTTAAGGTTTATACCACATTTCACCTGAGAGTTGATTATTAAAACCTACTAAAAGTTTTGATACACACCCAGAATTTCAAACAATTTAAAATAAATCGTGAATCTTCCAAAATTGCTGGAAATATTAATGCAGTTGTTACATTTATTTTACTTAGAGTACATAGATTGCTCTAACCACTTACTTATAACAGAAATGTGCAGAAGAACGAAAAAAAAGGGGGATTTAAAAAAAATGTTGATTTCAACAGGTGTGTCCATCTTCCTCTTCAAGCTTTTATTGAACTTCTCTCTTTTGGCAACAAGTTTCATAGTAAAAACATTTAAAAGTGCAATACTAAGGGTTTGCTAATGTTCAGTAGGAAAAGCTTCTCAAAATAACTGTTGAAATTATGAACTACTATATTTAATATAATTATGTTCCTTAAAAGTAGGCTTAACAAGGCCATAAAACAAACTAACGACAACTGATGGATCACGTTAGCAGTACTGTGACGTGACTTATTAGTTACATGTTTCAAATTAAAAACAGATCAAGTTAGCAGTGTTATGGAGTGAATTCATAGTTAAACATTTCAAACTAACAACAACAACAGAGAAGTCGTGTTAGCAGTGCTATGGAGTGAACTCATAGTTAAACATTTCAAACTAACAACAACAACAGAGAAGTCGTGTTAGCAGTGCTATGGAGTGAACTCTTAGTTAAACATTTCAAACTAACAATAACAGAGAAGTCGTGTTAGCAGTGCTATGGAGTGAACTCTTAGTTAAACATTTCAAACTAACAATAACAGATAAGTTGTGTTAGTAGTGCTATGGAGTGAACTCTTAGTTAAACATTTCAAACTAACAATAACAGAGAAGTCGTGTTAGCAGTGCTATGGAGTGAATTCTTAGTTAAACATTTCAAACTAACAACAGAGAAGTCATGTTACTAGTTCTATGGAGTGAACTCTTAGTTAAACATTTCAAACTAACAACAACAGAGAAGTCATGTTACTAGTTCTATGGAGTGAACTCTTAGTTAAACATTTCAAACTAACAACAACAGAGAAGTCATGTTACTAGTTCTATGGAGTGAACTCTTAGTTAAACATTTCAAACTAACAACAACAGAGAAGTCATGTTACTAGTTCTATGGAGTGAATTCGTAGTTACATTTTTCTAACTAACAACAACAAACAGATCATGTCACAAGTGCTTTGGAGTAAGTCTTTGTTATACACCTCAAACTAACAACAACAAACAGATCATGTTACCAGTGCTTTGGAGTGAATTCTTTGTTACACTTTTGAAAACAGCAACAACAGATAAATCACATGTTAACAGTGCTATAGTATGAATTCTTAGTTACACATTCAAACTAACAATCACACAGAGATCACAGTAGCAGAGCTATAGAGTGAATATTACTGTTTCAAAGTTTCTTTTTTTTTTTGTCTGTTTCACTAATGTGATCCATTATACTTTACAAACTTCATAAACTGTACGTTTCTTAATTTTTTAAAAGGTTTTGAAAACCTGGAGGTTTACATTTAGGCACTCAGAATACACTCAATGCCTCAGTTTATAATGTGTGTGAACAAAATTTGTTTCATAAGAAGGTTTGTTAAAAAAATCAGACACTAACAAATTAAAATACACACAGTCTAATTATGAACAAGTTGTTACCAGCGAGGAAATAAAAAAATCAAAATTCTATGTTTATGACTTGCCAGTAATATATTCTATCAACAAGAATATATTCCCAGTGTACAATTTGTCAAATATTCCCTCAGTCACGACAATATAATCTCAGGTACAAGAGTTTTTAAATGTAGATTAAGTTATTGTATCATGTATATGTAAACATTTCAAGCTACGTTTCCCCTAACTTATCACCCACTAAGAGTAGAACTTAACCATGTAAATCTTTTAAGAACAAGTATGGTATCAAGAACTTACACCACTAATCCCATTGGTTTTAGATTTCAGGATTCAAACAGACAAAACTGTATATGCACTTATAATCCACCTTACCAAGCACTTTCTTATTCACTGAAAGTAATTCTGAATATGAACATGATACATCGCACATTAGTAATGTATCATAGGGTGTTATTACCATCAATTACCAACTGTTTATTCACTCCAATTTAAAACTGTACCATTCAGAATTACCACCAACCAAGTATTTACTTTCTCATTCTCATAGTGTATCATTCAGAATTACCATCAAACACCAAGTGTTTACTTTTTCCATTCTATAAGTGTACCATTCAGAATTACCATCAACCACCAAGTGTTAACTTCTTCCATTCTATAAGTGTATCATTCAGAATTACCATCAACCACCAAGTGTTTACTTCTTCTATTCTATAAGTGTATCATTCAGAATTACCATCAACCACCAAGTGTTTACTTCCATTCTATAAGTGTATCATTCAGAAT